TAATTTCTTCGAAAACTGCAACAGTTTTTCCAAAAAAGATTTTCAAAATAAAAAAAAAATCATTTCGAAACCGAGTTTTTGGAAAATCTAGATCCAAAACCATTTATACTTTATGTTTTTCGAATCAGATAAGATAAAAATTTATGAGACAGAAAAAGTTCAATTCTAAACCTAATTTTTGTAAAATCTTGAGCGAAAACTAATTACACTTAACGTCTTTGAATTACCTCGTCGAGATTTGTATCCCAGAAATTTTTGAGGCAACTTTTCAAAAATCTCATTTTTCAATATGAACTTTTGGCCGTTTTTGTGCATTATTAAAACATTTTCTTGTAGCTTCCGACTCACAGAATTTATTTTAGGTGTCATTTCTTTGAAAATTTCAACGTTTTTTTCAGAATCGATAAGATAAAAATTTTCGAGGCAAAAACGTTCATTTACAAACCGAATTTTTGGAAAATCTTGAGCCAAAACTAATTACACTTGATGTTTTTCGAATCAACTCGTCAAAATTTATATTCCAGAATTTTTAGGCATTTTTTCAAAAATCTCATTTTTCAATATGAATTTTTGACCGATTTTTCCGCATCATTAGAAAATTACCTAAAGACATTTTCTTCTAGATTCCGACTCACAGAATTTATTTTAGGTTTCATTTCTTCGAAAATTCCAACAATTTTTCCAGAATCGATAATATAAAAATTTAAAAATTTTCGAGACAGAAAAAATTCATTTCCAAACCGAATTTTTTGAAAATCTTGAGCAAAAAGTAATTAGACTTAATATTGTTGAATCACCTTGTCGAGATTTATATCCAGGAATTTTTTGAGAGTTTTTAGGCAATTTTTTCAAAAATTTCATTTTTCAATATGAATTTTTGACAGTTTTTTCCGCATCATTAAAAAATTACCTAAAGACATTTTCTTGTAGTCTCCGACTCGCAGAATTTATTTTAGGTTTCACTTCTTCGAAAATTGTAACAATTTTTCCAGATTCGATAAGATAAAAATTTTCGAGGCAGAAAACATTCATTTCCAAACCGAATTTTTGGAAAATCTTGAGCCAAAACCAATTATACTTTACGAGTATGTTTTTCGATTCAGCTCGTAAAGATCTATACCTCAGAATTTTTTGAAAATTTCTTGGCAATTTTTCAAAAATCTCAATTGTCGAATATGAATTTTTGGCCGTTTTTTTGCACCATTCGAAAATTCTTTGCAGACATTTTCTTGTAGATTTCGACTCGTACAATTTACTATCGGCTTAATTTTTTCGAAAATTCCAACCATTTTTCCAGAATCAATAAGATAACGATTTTCCAGATAAAAAAAAATAATTTCCAAACAGAATTTTTGAAAATTATGAACCAAAACAGACGAACTGATTCGAAAAACATAGTGTGTAATAGACACTATGTTTTTCGAATCAGTTCGTCCAGATTTATTTCCTACAATTTCTTGAGAATTTTTTGGCAATTTTTCAAAAATATTAATTTTTCAAAGTATGAATTTTTCACCGTTTTTCCGCAACACTCGAAAATTACGTAAAGACATTTTCTTCCAAATTTCGAACCGTAGAATTTATTTTCGGCTTCATTTCTGTGAAAATTCCAACAATTTTTCCAGAATCGTAAGATACAAATTTTCGAGGCAGAAAAAATTTATCTTCTTGAATCAGTTCGTTTCAAAAACCTCAAATTTTCAATGTAAATATAATTTTTTGAATTGGAAAAATACTTAAAGACACTTTTTGTAGATTTTGGGCTATAACATCTATTTTGGGCTTAATTTCTTCGAAAACTGCAATAGTTTTTCCAAAGATGGATTTTCAAAATAAGAAAAAATCACTTCCAAACCGAATTTTTGGAAAATCTAGATCCAAAACCACTTACCCCACCCACCCGCCCCAATCTCAATTGTGATGAATTTCATATAGTAATTTCTTGTAGAGAAATGAGGATTTTGCAATTAAACTCCGCCACTCAGCTCACGATGAATAAAACATTCATCACAGTTGAGAAGGGGTGGGTGGGCGGGGCTTGTATTTTGTCCATTTTTTCTTAATGTACGAAGTCTTCGTTTGGCAACAAGAAATTGAAAACATGTTTATCTATTCTGTTGTTGAAAGAAAACTATATATATTAAAGAAAAAAACGAAGATTAAGCCCCACCCACCCGCCCAAATCTCAATTGTGATGAATTTCATATGGTAATTTCTTGGAGAGAAATGAGGATTTTGCAATTAAACTCCGCCCTTCAGCTCACGATGAATAAAACATTCATCACAATTGAGAAGGGGTGGGTGGGCGGGGCTTGTATTTTGTCCATTTTTTCTTAAAGTACGAAGTCTTCGTTTGGCAACAAGAAATTGAAAACATGTTTATCTATTCTGTTGTTGAAAGAAAACTATATATATTAAAGAAAAAAACGAATATTAAGCCCCACCCACCCGCCCCAATCTCAATTGTGATGAATTTCATATGGTAATTTCTTGGAGAGAAATGAGGATTTTACAATTAAACTCCGCCCTTCAGCTCACGATGAATAAAACATTCATCACAATTGAGAAGGGGTGGGTGGGCGGGGCTTGTATTTTGTCCATTTTTTCTTAATATGGCAAGTCTTATTTTCTTAAAAAGAAACTGAAAACATGGTTAACTATCCTGTCGTTGAAAGAAAACTTTATACATTTTAAAAAACAAAGATTAAACCCCACCCACCCCCCAAATCTCAATTGTGATGAATTTCGTATGGTAGTTTCGTGGAGAGAAATGAGGATTTTGCAACTAAACTCCGCCCTTCAGCTCACGATGAATAAAACATTTGTCACAATTGAGAAGGGGTGGGTGGGCGGGGCTTATATTTGGTCATTTTTTCTTAATACCTATATTGGATTGATGATGAGTTATCAAACTGCAGTGATGATGACAATGAAGATTAAAAAAAGTCACAGCTTTTTGATGAATAATGATTAATATTTAAATGAATTATTTTGAAATTTCCTGTTAATAAATTTATTGTTTTTTGCGTATCATAACATCCAAATAAACTACTATTTTATTAAATTGATTGCTGTTTAAACCATAAATCTCTCGAGTACATCCAATGAAAAATATTTTCATAACTCAACAAGGGTTTGTTCACAATTTTCAATACGAATTCAAATGAATTCATATGCTATAATTGTCGTTATAATTAAGCATATTTACTTAATTATTACTGAAGGGGATGACGTCATCTTAAAAATTTCCAGTAGTAGTTTTATAAAATAAGATACTCCTGCATTTGTGGTTTATGAATTCGTGTTGAGTTTTTACCCTAGATATCCAGATCCAAAATTAATTTAACCTTGAAACTGCAAAACTGAATACCTACCGAGAATATGCAAAGTATTATCAGTCTGCACTTGTAGTTTATCAGTGTATTCTTTATATATAGGGTGACTAAAAAAAATTAATGAATGGGGATATCTATTTTGCTGTTTGAATCAAGAACGGTTCACCCCATTTTCCCGAAAATTTGAGTATTTAGTACTGTTATCACAAAATTTCGTTATTGAAAAACTCACGTGAAATAGACGCATAGCATGCGTCTTTTTAGCGGACTTTCACAGTCCATATAATATATCTTTATTTTAATTTGCCAAATTAAATTTTATAATTTTTTGAAGAAGCCGTATTTGTTCGACTGTACTTTATAGGAAGTTCTCTCGAAATAATCTTCGACTAATTTTTATTTTTTTGGATATTGAAATGAAAAAATGATCCATTTCTTTGGGGCACACGGTATATTAACATTAACGTCAAGCACAAGATCTTGCAAGAACTGGTTTATGTTGAACTTTAATTGTTTCTTTCTATCTTTGTTTTGGATAGCTGTATTCTTATTAAAAATTAACATCTCTATCTAACTTCACTATGATAGTTTATTTATATTTTCTGTTTATAATTCTAGTGTTGTGTCCATAAAGTTAATGTTCTTGAACTTCTTAGTCGTAATAGCTCACTAAATGTTGTCTTTGCGACTATGTACGGCAGGATGCGACGTTTATTTTTTTATTTAAAATATTACTTGGTGGATGCAAAAAAAAACGAAGTAAAAACAAAATACAGTTAAAAAACACACTTTACAATAAAGAGAACGATATAACATGACACTACCGGACGCATAATTGTGGTTTAACTGATGAGTAATGACAGAGTACCCATATAATGATGATGATGGTATTTTATTGTTAGAGCTTCCGCTAAGAAAATATTCAAATTTTCTTTCAATGTGCGATTTATTAACTCACAGAAAAATTGAAAAAATTGAAAAGAGAGGTGATGGTTTTGCAGATCTACAAATTTAATATCGTGACTCATTGCATAACATTAGTTATGTTAATTCGTTGCAGTTGATATTAATCAAAAGTATGAAAAAATTGTCATTTCTAACCTGTTTTAAAATTGTTACATGTTACAGAGTTTGCGCCTCGTAATATTTCGCTTATATAATAAATTAAGTCCGGGAACACAGTTTACAGTATGACTGAAACTCGAAACGATGTGTCGTTATGTATTTTATTTCATGCTGTTACTAATTTTATTTAAATAAAATTTTGCAATCAAATATTTCAACAATTACCAAAAAAAAAAAATTATTCTGAAACATTAAAAAAATCGAAACAACAAAAAAAAATACAAAATCCAGAAATCAAAACATCAACGAATCGAAAAATCAAAAAAATTGAAAATGTAAAATTTAAAAAATCGCAAAATTAAATTTTATAGTTTTTCGAAGAAGCTGTAATTGTTCGACTGCACTTCAGTAGCGAGGGAAGTTATGTCTAAATACACAGAACTTGACTTTTTAGTACATACTCATGTACTCATCGGGTATATATTCTATAGGTGTATACAAATGTAGACATAACATCAATGTATAAAACCTACTTTTTTTCTTATAAACTAAATATGCCAACAGAAGCAATTAGATAACAATGTTTTGAGGTGGTTTCAGGTGGCACCTGATAGAAGTTCATCTAAAAACACGCTTCGTATCAACAATCAAACATTGGGTACATTCCGCGGTGGTTCTCTACCCAATGTATCCGCGGGTGTTCCTACTGTCAAGTCAACTTGCCAAAACACAGAATCAACAAAGGTGAATTTTCACCCTACTTGTTTCAGTGTTGTAGACTTTATGTTATGTTATGCATTTGTGTGTTGTAGTCTTAACATATTTGTGATTACGAGATTTCGTTGCTTTGCATGTCAAGTATTTTTTTTGCTGTCGTAGTTTGGTAGAAATTTTGTTGCTGAAAATTACGTTTGCGCTTGTGTGGGTGATGTGCTGCGTTTAAATTAAGTATGCACTTCTTATTGAATATTAGAGTTGAAGTAGACGTCGTTTCTTTGTTCCTGTAGTATAATTCGCTTGTGAAGCAGTGTATTTTAGCCAGCGAAATATTGGACTTTGCAAGTTATTTGACGTCGAAAAAAACTAATGTGGTCCAATCCTTCGGTGGGTATTTATTTGTGCTTAGGCTTGATATATTTTTTTAGTATTTAACGCTGTTGATTTCTACAGTTACTTACATTATCCAATGAGACGGATTTTTACAATAGTCCAAATTTTACCCTTTTACAGTGACGCTACAAAAAACAACACAGGCGACTAATTTATTTGACGTTTTTGTTAATTTTGTTTCGACAGAACTTCCGCCGCCCCTGAAGTACAATAAACATCCAGCTTTTTCGAAAAATTATAAAATTTGTTTTTGAGAATTTTATTTTCTTTGTGAGAATCCCTAGAAATTAAAATTGAAAAAATAAAATGAGGTTTTTTTTGCCAAAATTTTGTGATGACGTCATCATCAATAAAATAAATTGACTCAATTTTTTTTACCCGATCAGACCTGACAGCTGGAGAGAAAGAATAAAAAAAGTTTTTGGGAACAGTGCGACATACTATAGCAATTATTAATAGTTTTTAGAACTGCTTATACAGGTGTCTCAAAAAAAATAGTGAATGGGTCAACTTATTTTGTTGATTAAATCAGCGTCGGTTCACTCATTTTTAGGAAAATTTGGGAATACAACATTGTTATTCTTAGTACCTGACTTAGTGAGAAATTGAATAAACTGACGAATATTGACAATTCGAAAATAAAACAAGACGAAACCTCGGAATGAAATAAATAAAAATTATTTTTTATTTATCTTCTATTTACATATTTCAATTTTGGGACTTTCATACTTCGACTAAATTTTTCGATTTTTCAACTAACTATTCGTGTTCTTTATTTTTTCTTATTCGATTTTTCAAAATATTGCGACTTTTTAAATCTTACATTGTTCGATTTTTCAGTTTTATGATTTTTCGATTTGTTGGTGTTTTGATTGCTCGAATTTTTAAATTTTCGATTTTTTGCTTTCTCGTTTTTAGATTTTTCGATTTTTAAATTTTTTGGAATTAATTTTTCAGTTTCTCGATTTCTCGATTTCCCAGTTTTACGATAATTCTTTTTTTCGATTTTCCAGTTTTTCAATGTATCAGTTTTGGGAATTATGTGTTTAATTTTTCGATTTTTCGTTTTTTCGATTAATAGATTTTTTAATTTTTCGATTTTTCGTGTTTCCGATTTTTCGATTTCTCAATTTTTCATTTTTTAAATTTTGAATGTTTAAGTTTTGAGATTTTTCAATATGTATTTCGATTTTGAAATTTTTAGATTTTTCGACTTTCTGTTTTTTTTTACTTGTTCTCATTCTTTCGATTTTTTGCCTCATCGTTTTTAAGTTTTTTGATTTTTCAATTTTTAGGAATTAATCTTTCAGTTTTTCGATGTTTCCAATTTTCGTTTTGTTGATTTGTTTTTTAAGTTAAAATTTTTCAATTTTGAATTTTCCCATTTTTCGATTTTTAGTTACTTCCATTTCGCAATTTTTCGATTTTTCGACTTCTCAATATTTCGATGTTTTCCAGATTTTTTTATTTTTCGATTTCGATTTCTCGATTTATCAGTTTTTCGATAATTCTTTTTTTCAATTTTCCCGTTTTTCAGTGTTTCAGATTTAGGGATTATGTATTTAAATTTTTCAATTTTTCAATTTTTGGCGTTTGTAAACTTTTCGGATTTTCGATTTCTCAATTTCTCAATTTTTCAATTTTCTGATTTTCAATCTTTTGGGATTTTTCATTATATATTTCGATTTTTTAATTTTTACATTTTTCGACTTTGTGTTTTTTTTTTGATTTTTTAATTATTCGAGTTTCCAATTTTTAAGTTTTGGGATTTATCTATTTAAATTTTTCAATTTTTCAGTTTTTCAATTTTTGGAGTTTCTAAATTTTTCAATTTTTCGATTTTTCAATTTCTCCATTAATGGATTTTTTAACTTTTCGATTTTCGCGTCTTTGGGATTTTTTAATATGTATTTCGATTTTGAAATTTTTAGATTTTTCGACTTTCTGTTTTTTTTTTTACTAGTTCCCTTATTCGATTTTTAAAAATTTTGTGATTTTTTTAAATCTTACATTTTTCAATTTTTTTATTTTTGATTCGTTGATGTTTTGATTTCTCGATTTTGTAAATTTTCAATTTTTTGAATTTTTAAATTTTAGATTTTTTTTTTGTAGTTTCCATTACTCAATCTTTCGATTTTTTGCCTCCTCGTTTTTAAGTTTTTTGATTTTTCAATTTTTAGGAATTAATCTTTCAGTTTTTCGATGTTTCCAATTTTCGCTTTTTTGATTTGTTTTTAAGTTAAAATTTTTGAATTTTGAATTTTCCCATTTTTCGATTTTTAGTCACTTCCATTTCGCAATTTTTGGATTTTTCGACTTCTCAATATTTCGATGTTTTCCAGATTTTTTTATTTTTCGATTTCGATTTCTCGATTTATCAGTTTTTCGATAATTCTTTTTTTCGATTTTCCAGTTTTTCAGTGTTTCAGATTTGGGAATTATGTATTTAAATTTTTCAATTTTTGGCGTTTGTAAATTTTTCGATTTTTCGATTTCTCAATTTTTCAATTTTTCTGATTTTCAATCTTTTGGGATTTTTCATTATATATTTCGATTTTTTAATTTTTACATTTTTCGACTGTTTTTTTGATTTTTTCCTTAATCGATTTTTTAAAAGTTTGTTAATTATTCGATTCGCTGATCTTTTGATTTTTTCGAATTTTTAAATTTCTCACTTTTTTTTGTTTCGATTTCTCAATCTTTTGATTTTTTGCCTTCTCATTTTTAGATTTTTCAATTTTTCGGAAATAATTTTTCAGTTTTTCAATACCCCTATTGAATTTTTTAAAGTTAAATTTTTCAGTTTTGAATTTTCTCATTTTTCGATCTTTAGCTATTTAGATATCTCAATTTTTCGATTTCTCGATTTCTCAGTTTTTCGATTATTCGAGTTTCCAATTTTAAGTTTTGGAATTTATGTATTTAAATTTTTCGATTTTTCAGTTTTCAATTTTTGGCGTTTCTAAAGTTTTGGATTTTTCAAGATTTCGAATTTTAAATTTTTTGATTTTTTACTTACTCGATTTTTCAAAATTTTGCGAGTTTTTAAATCTTACAGTTTCATCTATTCAATATTTTAATTTTTGGATTTTTTAGGTTTTTAAAATTCTTCAGTTTTTTGATCATTCTTTTTTTCGATTTTCCAGTTTTTTAATGTTTCAGTTTAGGGTATTTTTTAAATTTTTCGATTTTTCAATTTCTCGTTTAATGGATTTTTAAATTTTTCGATTTTAAAGTTTTTAGATTTTTCGACTTTTTTTTATTCTTTATTTATTCCCGTATTCGATTTTTCAAAATTTTGTGATTTTTTTAAGTCTTCCATTTTTCAATTTTTTGATTTTTGGATTCGTTGATGTTTTGACTTGTCAACTTTTTTTAATTTTCAATTTTTTGCCTTCTCGTTTTTAAGTTTTTGGATTTTTAATTTTTTTTTAATTTTTCAGTTTTTCGATGTTTCGATTTTTCGCCTTTTTGGCTTTATTTGTTTTTTTAAGTTAAAATTTTTCAATTTTGAATTTTCCCATTTTTCGATTTTTAGTCACTTCCATTTCACAATTTTTCGACTTCTCGATCTTTTGATGTTTCGATTTCCCGATTTTTTAATTTTTCGATTTTCCAGTTTTTTAAAGTTTCAGTTTTGGGAATTATGTACTTATTTAAATTTTCCGATTTCTCGATTTCTCAATTTTTCAATTTCCAGTTTTGGGGTTTTTCAATATGTATTTCAATTTGTAATTTTTAGATTTTTCGACTTTCTGTTTTTTCTACGTATTCCCTTATTCGTTTTTTCAAAATTTTGTTTTTTTAAATTTTACAATTTTCAATTTCTCGATTTTGTAAATTTTCAATTTTTTGAATATTTAAATTTTAGATTTTTAATTTTTTTGTTGTTTTCATTTCCCAATATTTCAATTTTTTGCCTTCTCGTTTTAAAATTTTTCAATTTTTCATTTTTTTGGGATTAATTCTTCAGTTTTTCGATGTTTCGATTTTTTGGTTTATTTATTTTTTTAAATTGAAATTTTTCAATTTTGGATTTTCCCATTTATCGATTTTTCGACTTCTCAATGTTTTGATGTTTCGATTTCCCGATTTTTCAATTTTTCGATTTCGATGTCTCAGTTTTTCAAAAGTAATTTTTTTCGATTTTTCATTTTCTCGATTATTGGATTTTTTAATTTTCTTCGATTTTTCGTCTTTCCGATTTCTCGATTTCTCAATTTTCAAATTTTCAATGTTTCAGTTTTGGGATTTTTCAATATACGTATATTTCATTTTTAAATTTTTTGATTTTTGGATTCGTTGTTTTGATTTCTCGATTTTCTAAATTTTCAATTTTTTAAATTTAAAATTTTTCATTTTTGTATTATTTGCCTTTCTTAATCTTTCGATTTTTTGCCTTTTCGTTTTTAAGGTTTTCGATTTTTCAATTTTTGGGAATTAATTTTTCAGTTTTTCGATGTTTCGATTTTTCGCGCTTTTTGGTTTATTTTTTGTTAAAATTTTTCAATTTTGAATTTTCCCATTTTTCGATTTTTAGTCACTCCCATTTCACAATTTTTCAATTTTTCGACTTCTCAATCTTTTGATGTTTCGATTTCCCGATTTTTCAAGTTTTCGATTTCGATTTCTCA